GTGAGAGGGAAATGTGCCTCCCTTAGCTAGCCATGTCGGAATATCCTACGTTCTCTCCCTCTCACCTCTGCTTGGAGAGTATGGGAGTTGGTCAAATAGCAGAGAGATAGCATGCCGTGGGAGTTGGTCAAATAGAGAGATAGCATGCCGTGGGAGTTGGTCTGTTGGAGAGAACAGTTTGCCTCTCCCGAAATTTCTACTCTTTCCAGCCGCCTCCCGAAGCCTGGTAGAGGCAATTATAGATACAGTATATATAATGTCCACTGTTAGGAACAAATTCTTTTAAAATTTCCACAGATGACTGGCCCAGGTACATATATGAGCGGCAGCCCATGGTAGACGCCAAACATTAAACCATTCCATCCTTTATTCTACCTGGCTCCTGACAAGAGCCATTTCAGTGCCCTTGTGTATTGTGTGATTTTGTAACATGTTCGTTTGCGTGCCTGTATATGTATTGTCATGTAAATGTATATTTGTATCTACTATGTATAAAATTTGTAAAAATCAGTGTAATTCAGCTTGGTCGACTTTGTAAACTGGCTGCAAGGCTGATTTTATTAATAAAACTTGAAACTTGAAACTTGATTTCCTGTGTCTGTCTTTTTGACCTCATGTCTCTCTGTCTTTAAAGACATTCAGCGCAGTTTTAGACCAGTCTATCCCAATGTATATTGACCCTCATGGAGCAAAAATTCATAAATTCTGACGGAAAATGGTTACTGGAAGGCCTTGGGCTGATTTTTAGAAAAAACACTCAGAAAATAGAGGACTTATACCCAAAGTATGAAATGCTGACTCAAATGTGCTAATGTAAAGCAGAATGTGTCAATATCACAAAGATTGCCTTATTATTCAGAATATTTCCAGTTTTGCTGCCCTGAAATCTCATTGGCTACCCCCACTGACGCGCCGTAAACGTACTCAGTCCGGACAAACATACACACAAACCCACAGCTCAGCCACCCAAAACAATACTACCGTACCCTACCGTATACCAGCAAGTAACAAATGTCACAAATTTGAATTCACAAAACTTTCCTAAAATATAACCCATTTTTGGACTAAAAAAAAGTAGGCGTATTGGTTTAATGGTTAAAAGTAACATAAAGCTACGCAGTTTGCAAAGACCTCTATGCGCTGGTTAGCACTTATCTCTTGCCGTATGCATATACATCCTCAGACGGAGCCCTTATCGGGTAACAGTCGGGCGAAAGTAGTGTAAACTAGAGTCCCACGACCTCATACCTTCGCCAAATGATGTTAATCTTTATGACAGACAAAGTAAAGATTATTCCTCCTGATTATGCAAATAGGATCCTCATTTGCATGAATTATATCAGTTGATTTACTTGATTATATTCTCCATCGAAAGACAGCCTTATCTTAACAAAGAAAGCCATTCTATCATTTCGTCATAAATTATGCAAATGAGGACCTAATTTGAATAAGTTATGTTTAATGATGTTCACCTTCACTTAACTTTCAAATACCTCAAGTATGAAATTCCAGGCAGTTACTATTATGGAATTATAACATTTTCTCATTAATTAAATGTTGATTTACATAATCAATATCTGCCTGTGTTTCTCTTGTTCTCAATTACATATGTCACAAGCTTGAATAGTCCTATAATGTAATGCAGCTGATTTATAGAATTTCCTCATTAATTATGCAAATAACATCCATATTTGCATAATTGTCACATAATTATGTCAAGCGTCACTTAAGCTACCTACATACCAAAAATCATGAAGATCCGCCCACCGGTTCTTGAGTTATCCTCTTATGAATATTTTCAAAGAAATGCCCCTGCAGTTCTTGAGCAAGCCGCCAGGGGGCCCAAACCTATGTCACTTCTTCCCCAGCACAAGGCTTACCTACCATCCAAATTTCGTGACCCCAGCACATCCAGATCACGAGATATCAAAATCTGAAGTTCAGCTGCAGTACCATAAGAAGCCGCTAGGGGGCCCAAAATCTAATCATTTCGAGGTCTCATCAAGACCTACCCACCTACCAAATATGAAGTCAATCCATTTAAGCCTTCTCAAGTTATCGTGTTTACAGACAGACAGACAGACAGACACACACACACACACACGAACGCCTACGAAAACATAACCTTCTTGGCGAAGGTAACAACACTGTTTCAACAGAAGGTATGATAGATAGTGTTTGGACGCCTATTTCAGGCCACAGCTCAGCTAACGGTTTACTGTATGTTTACCATGTCTGGCGAGGGGAAAGTAAAAAGTTGTGGGGTTTTAATTTTAATTTGGTGGTGTTTGTTTGTCTGGGTGCCATCCGAATTGTAAGGCCACACCGATTTAATTTTATGGATGACATCCTCTGAACACCCCCAAACTAGTGCGCGCGGATGAATAAAAAAAAGTCCGGCCAAAAATAAA